TATCTGTTTAATGTGTATTATGTCCTGGCGTATCCTCATTTGAGATATCTTGTTGTTTATTGGGCGTGCCACCGATATTCTCAAGAGTCTTTGTAGCTCAAAAGCGACTAATTAGACTAATTTTGAAATTACATCCTCTAGATCATGCCGACCTCACTTTATCAGTGCCAAGTTATTATCACTACCATCGATAATAATGATCTATGAGGCAAGTATATTTGCAAAAAGTAACATCAATAAATTTATTCTCTCCACCGATGTTCATGACCACTACACAAGAAACAGCAAAGATATTTACATAAATAGTATTAACTTGTCCTTGAGCAAAAAAGGTCCAACATATCTATGTAGCGATATTTATAATAAACTACCAAATGTAATAAAGGACATACGATGTGAAAATAAGTTTAAAAAATAATTAAGGGCATATCTTAGAGCATAGATAAGTGTTTTTATGACATTAGAGACTTTTTTCAAACGTAACTATGTGTGTTGTATGTATCTATGAGGATACATTATTTTTAGGATTTACGTTATAACTATAACATTTTACAATTAGATTATATGTTGTCTTTGTTTTTTTTTGTTTTTCTTTGTTTTTGTAAGTTTGTATTTTTACTGGGTAAATGTATAAACCTCTTTCTTTTATGACGTATCATGTTCTTACTTGTAAGGTTTTTCTAATGAATAAATTATTATTATTATTACTAATAGTGTGACGATATTTACATGAGCCAAAATTCATATTTTACATATAATTGTACACGACCATATTATGCACTTCAAAGTAAATATTGACTTACAGTTAGTATCGTAACTGCTGGAAGTACGGTATTTGTGCTTGAGTGTGCTTGAGAATACATTTGATAATATTGAACATAGGTATTTATAGTAAAGTAAAATTTTCTGGGTATATGAGTATCAGTGATAAAAAATATCAGACTATCAGTCTCGATGCATATTTTTCTGTAACTACTGCTTCCAAGAAGCTCTGCATAATCTCAATATTTCATATTATTTTTCTCAGTATCCTTATTCATTATTTTTATATTATTACTACTATTTTATTGATTTCTCTCTACTCGTATTTCTTTTTCTTATGATGTTTTTAAATGTATTTGTATTTAGTGCTAGTTTCTTCTTATTATTTTTCATCCGTTTATTATCTTCTTTCTTAATTCCAAGATTTTCTAATTTCCTTTTGCTTTATTTGGAATATTTTTATAAATATTTCAGTGTTTGTTTGGTTCTTCAAAATCACATAAGTTTTCCTTCTCAAATTTTCTCCCATTTTTGTTTACTTTAATTGTAAATATACAGGGCTGGAAAATCCACAAGGTCCATCTGCCTTTACATGAGAGCGACAAAGTAAAGTAAAGAAATCCGTGCGATAGACAAGGATGGCTATAGTGAAGACGTTTCATAATCTGAATAGTCACCGCTAGGCAGTTTCGGGTTAGAACTATTCAGATTATGAAACGTCTTCAATGTAACCATCCTTGTCTATCGCACGGATTTCTATGACTTACTTTATCGCTCTCACGTAACGGCCGATGAACCATGGGGACTTTCCGAACCTGTATATAATTCCACCATCAATTTAATTTCAGTTTTACAATCATATTTTTATTCCTTTATTATACAATTTCTATTGATTTTTGGTGCATATTATATTAATTATTAATAAAGTGAATACTAGTTACAGTCCGTACGATATTTGTTGAGATAGAATTCCAAGGAGACCCCTTTTCACCTCGGGTGTCAACTGGGGATGATTCCAAGAAAGTGACACAGCGGTCTTTTGGCATTCTATCTCAACAAATATCGGACCGTCTGTACAAAATGTGATATTCTGTTAAGTTATTTCTTGAATGTTTTTTTTTGTATGAAATAAATCCTAAAATCAAAATAACTTTGGGAACCTATGTTATGTTATGACAATTAAATTTAATGTTCTATTCAACCTTTTTACTTTGACTTTATCAAATATAATTCATTATAATACCATTAATTAAATTTAGTAGTTTGAAATTTTGGAATTTTTACTGCGTCAATTAAAAATAGTTACCCACAAATTTTTTGACTTGGTATTTAAAGTATGGTACTGTATCTAGATTTGCACATTATTTTGGAATTTCCTAATACCCATGCTCTATTAGTATTTTATAAGATTAGTTGGAAGTTTCGAAGAAAGTGAAGTAGAATATGGAGTTTGCCACGCAGTCACGGGTTTTCTCAATATTATATTAGTGTAGCTATGTAATGATTGTATTTTGCATATGATTCTATTCTATCAGAGCAGTATTAGGTTAAATAGGTTGAGCTACTTTTCGACAGATGTCCCCTCTTTACTTTCTCGAGCACATCCTTGTAGTAATCCTGATGTAGTTCGTGTATCAGAATAATCTACTATACGGTGATTAAACTTTCCTACAAATCGCTATTGAGACAATATAATAGTATATTACGTAATAAGTGTTGTAAAAAGCATTTTACGCACGAATGGAAAAGTTACGCACGACGCCGCGTAGCGGCGAGTGCGTAATTCTATGAGTGCGTAATTGCATTACACCACGTATTACGTACTATACTTTACCTACGACCACTACTTTAAATACTTAAAAACACACCGTCTGCGATCAATGCAAGATTCCTATTACGTCGTACGGTAAAAAAATCACACAGCTTGGTAGAATCGTTATGATCAATCGTTACGTCGCAGTTGAGTTTGTTGATAGTTTTATCGGAATATAGGATCTTGGGAAAGACCAAAAACTGCAGTGCGGTGATATTGTTTACAGGAAATATATTAGCGCAAATAAAATAATACCATGTTCGTTTTGTTCACGAAATCTAGCAAATTCCGTGCCATGTAGAGTATCACTAATCTTATTTTCCTTAGATAAGTATCAGTTTCACGATTTTTAAGTTATAAATAAAGGTATTGAAACGATAACTGAACATATTTCGTGAATCATAAGTCAAGAAGGTGCAATGACAGATCCAAGCATAATTATTGTTGTGATCACTCTCGTGACATTCGTTCTGTGTATATTAATTCTGACAAAAGTATGTGAATGTGGTAAGTGAATCAAATAGTATTTAGCAATGAATTATAAAAAAATAAGTTAGGTGCATACATATAATATTAATAATGTATTCGTGTTTTTGAAAGTTTGCTTGGCATGTGTGGTAATTACATTAGAACAGTCATCCAGGAACTAGTACTAATTTTGCTTTAAAATGTAAACTACATAGTTCTTAAACTAAACACTTTTCGTAAGTGAGATGATTTTTTTATCTCGGATTTTTAGAATTCCCCGCGTAATTTGGTCACTGCCTCCCATCTAAGAAATGGTTAATACTTTTAAACAAGGAATCACAATTAAATTCGTAGCATATGTCGACTAATCCATAATTTCTCGTCTGTGATACTGAAGCAATTGTAAAGGTGGTATCGCCATAAAAAGCGTAATACTTTTGGTATTTTATCACATTTGAAATGTCACATTTCATTTTTGGAAGGATCTACCAATAACTATGTCATTTACTGCTTCACCTAAAGTCAATCAAAAGGTACCTTCCAATCAAATAAAACAACTCGTTTTATTTCCCGTGATGATTTAATCAAGACATTCGTTAAGCTGTCATTAAGTGTTTTAGATAATCTAGTCTTTTCAATTCCAGGGATTCTGTTATGGAGAACTGTACAGCTTATCCTATATTTCGGTGTGATTTGTTTTTATCTTGTTACCACGGAATTACTGTTAGTACATGCTGTTATAAAAGAAATGCGAATTTCTCGTTTATATGGAAATGAATTATTGGATAATAAATACAGTCTACAAGTTTCCTAACTGTCATGCTTTCTTTATGTTGGTCGTTTATTATTCAAGGGAACTAATTTGCACATATTTCTATCACCGCGTTGAGGTATACCAAAAGTAAGCCGATTTGATCTACTTACTGCTTCAAATCCTCGATTCCCATGGGTCTTCTGATCAGTTTTCCTTGTGTAAGGTAGATTTTTCTTCTTCGAACATACGGTGTCATTATTATAAAAACTGAATGATATACAGTCATTCTGTTCTTCTTCTACCGTTAGGTATTGGAGTTTCTAACAAGAGGGTTCGTCTAATTATTGATATTGTCCACAGTTTTAGAGAAAGGGGCAGCATCGTCAAGTGTAGGAAAATGTGCCTAAAAAAAGAAAATTTGTTGCTTACACTGTTATAATAGGGCAATAAAAGTAATAAATGCAATAAATAATAATCATAGACTCGTGAGATCTAAGGGTGCAGATAGCAATGCTTCCTGGAACTTGACGTTTTACAATCGTCAAAATTTGGGGCAAGCGATATCTGATAGTGTAGCTTGATAGCATACAGCTTGATCAAATTCATCTTTCAGATGCGCAGAGGCAATTTGCAATATTTAAATATATAATATAAAATCTTCATTAAATAATATTTATCAGATTTAAGCAAAATCTTTGCATAGAAGGTAGCGGTGTCCACAGTCAAGATCTTCTGTTTTTGTCACTCCTACAGCCAACTATGTCCTTGATCTGCATATCTTGTGGACAAGATGAGATTGGTCGAGCTGCAGCTTATAAAACCAGTGTCTTACACACAACTAAGTTTTAAATTAATTTTGACATGTCATATTATTTTGAAGAGAATGTTTTTTGTTTTCCAAGACTGCTAAATTCGTTCTTAATTGTGTCATATAATTTTCATTGCAGTTCTCATCATATTGCACCTCGTAAGATGAGTTACTGCAACAGTTGTAAATCGAATTTAAATTATTTTTGATGAAGAATAGACAAAATATAATTGAGGACGTCAAAGCAAGCTCTTATAAGTTGATGATGGCGGTTTGAGTATCAAAAAGTATTTAAGTTTGTTATTAAAATGTTTTTTTTTTTGGCTTAATGTATCTACTATTAACAATCAAGTCCATCTCTAGAATGCCTTAAAAAACCGCAAGTTAAATTTGCTGACTTTATTCTCATTAAAATGAGGTTCATATCACATACACACGCCTCTGTCAACTGATTTTGCTAATGATTTAGGGTAAGGTTCAGCGTGGCATCAAAGTGTTTGACGAATGTTATCATTCGTAAACAATATTTCTAATAATCGTAAGAATAACACTTACAGATAATAAATTAGGGAAATATGTACGCTGATTTTAAACAACAAATAAAAACATTATTAGATTTTTAATGAATCTTGATTCTTGATTAGTGGAAAATAATTTTTGTTTATCCTCTTTTTTGAAATTTTTTATCTGAAATAATATGAACCCAGCAAAAGGACAAACATGTTTTTATCTTCCAATTATTTCCAATAAAATTAATCAAAACAAAAATGTATCTAAATGCAAGGTTAAAACTGCCATAAAAAAATAACTGATAATTAATTCGTTTAAATTTTTTTATCTTATTCATAATAACACATTTTAAGACAAAGTGATTCAGTATTGTGAAAGACAGGAACTTTCCGATTCACACATCATCTGAAGGTTTTATTCATAGTTACAGAAATCTAAAATATAAATATATTCTGGAAAAATGAGGTTATGGATCGAAGCAGAACTTTAAAATTATTTTTAGGTTATCAGGACCATAAGAAGAAAATATATTTTCAGTATTAAATAAACTCATTTGGAAATAAGGAATAATAATAATCAGATCAGATAGGACGTATTTTTCAATTTATTATCTATAAGTGGTATTTCTCTCCAGATTGCTAATCTTGCTGTTACACCTACTAAACAGACAGTTCAAGTACTTTGATATGGACTAGACACCCTGATTCACCATTAACTTAGAAAATATTTTTCACAGTTTGTGAATTAGGCGTAAATTGTATATTGTTTACATTCTAATATATATTTTTACACAGTACCTACAATAATATTCACTTCAAGTGTTATTTTTCACTCATGGCTTAGGCGCTATAGGGCTAGGTGATTATCACAAAATTCTTATTCGTGCATATATTTTAATTTACACACTTGTATAAATAATTATTATTGTTTCTAAAAACGGTTTAATAAAATATTTTTATTTATTTCAGCTTTCGACAGAAGGAGACAAGTTGATCAGAGAAGATCATCGACTACCTCCAGAACAAGTATCTATATAATAGAAGACAATGGAGAAGTTATGGGTAAGTTTCGCACATTTTTATATTGTGTAGCATGTATTAATTAAATTTTATTTGCAGTTATCAATCCAGGGGCAGGCGATGTAGAAAAATATGATGTTAAACATTCATATGAGAATCTGGCTCCTCCGCCATATTTTGTAGTACTGAATACTTTAGCTGCAGCCTCCTATGAATTACCGCCATCTTATCCTATTGAAACTTGAAGGGAATTAATGATATAAGAAGGATAAACATGTGCTCTCTATTGTTACTACTCCTTTGAAGCTCGAATACATAACTATACTGAAATATAGGATCATAGTCACTGAATGACGCTGACGAGTTTGTAATGGAAGAAAATTATTTATTTTTTGCATTATTAGAAAGAAATATAGTATATTTTTAATATAGCAATTTGTTTAATTTATAATATCAGGTTACTCACAATGTTAAAAACATATTAGTGAATTTATATTAAGTTCACTCCATACAAAAGATCTAACAATAATTCCTTGTCTGCAACTGGACGATTTAATCTCGTTTATAATCCAGCCCTTTTGACAATTATTATTAAAATACTTTTAGAGGAAAATGCCTATTAGAATAAAATTAAATGAACAGTCATATGCCCGATCAATGTTAGTCTCTGATCAACTTTCCTTCTCTAAATTCAAATTAAAATTTATAATTTCTTCTAAAACTTATATTACATTTTGTAACATTTCTATGACAATAAAAAAAACTCCAAAAGAACAGTTCTGTACTCACACACCTCATTGACAATTACAGCTACAGTCTTATTATCTGCTATATTTGTGAATATCTGATCTATTATAGTTGAAGTGGTACAAGAAACTCTCGTAGGCCAGCTCACTATTGGAGTCAAATTATATGCCAACTACACAACATATTAAAATTCCTGCTATTTTTATCCTTATAAGAACAATCTAAAATTCATATCGCCATTTAAAATAATATCCATATTTAGTTTAACTAACAAATTAAGTACAGAAATTATAATCTCAAAAAATATATCTAGATATCCAGAAGGACCAATACCAAAGTAGTTCTATTATATAATTTCAAGGATACCCCACAAATTTCAAAATGTTGATCTACGCAATATGCATTCAGGTAAATATTCTTTACTTAAAAAGTTTCAGAATGATGAATGTGGAAACATTGCTGAATTGTGTACAAGTGTACTATCTATTTGTTTCCCATGGGCTTAAATCCGTTTAATTTAACATAAGGTATAAAATGTATCTACAAAAAAACTTATAAATAATAACTAAGCGTAATATAAAATATAATAGTTAAATTAACAAAAACACATAGTAAGCAGCATGAGTTTTACAAATAGAAATTAAAAGATTAGGCAATAATATAAATTAAATTACAATTAGTTGTTTTAGAAATTAAGCCTGCATCAGAAAAAAGTTCCATATTGTGCTATTTTTAATGGCAAACCTAGTAGCTCAACTCATACTTGTATAGGTATTAAATCCACAATTCGTTCTATGAAGTCGATTGGATGAAAGAAGTAATTGTTCTTGTTGATATTTTACTATTTAGGAATATGTTAACCAATTTTTTCTAGCAAATAATTTTCTTATCTTTAAGGAAACTACGAGTTTCTAAAGTTTTAATATTCACTTCTTGTTCAAGTGCTGCATAGTTAAGATTGAGATTAAGACAACAATTGGATTTAAAAGTTATACTGAACTGAACTTGCTTGAGGTTGTCAATACAATATAAATATTATAATGAGTGCTCCAGATTTTGTATCAGCGTTTGAGATGTGTACTCAAGTAATTATGAATTTTATTGGTATTTCATTTGAGTGTAATTAATCATTTTTAATACAAACATTATCATAGGTATATAAGGTATTAAGTTATGTCATGTTTGTGTAATAGAAAACAGATATTTTTAACATGTACCTATCTACGCAAAGCCCATGTACTTAAAAGAGTTCCAAAATTTTCTATGGGCGTTTTAATTATCTTTACGTAGAGACTTTTTGTATTTTCCCTTATACCTTTGATCTTTTTAACTTGCCTCTAGCAATAATTATTATTGTACTCAAAATGTTGGTATTATTAAGATACTCAGGGATACGAAGAAAGGCACATAGGTACTTTAACATTCCTAGGGTAGAAATATGCAAAAATTTTTGATCAAACGTTTGCCCGGAATGGCACTGCTTAAGAATTATAATAACTCCCTATATTATAATAACCCTTTAAAAAATTGAAAATTCTTATAGCAATGATTTCTATATAATTTACATTACTTATTTAAAATAATATTTCTAATAAAAAAATCCTTTAATTTTTTTGTGAAACTAATGCAATAGCGATTTATTTTCGAGGCTTATTTTAAATTTAAGAAAAATTACTATTCGTTTTTCGAATAAAGTGGAAGACCTTAAATTCAGTGCTAGACAAAGCAAAACCATAAAGGCAGTGATATAGACGCAAAAGTACTCATAAAACATATGTGATTCGTGCAACTAGGCTCGGTGGAAAGCCTCCAAAACCGTGTCATTCCGAGGGTATACAAAAGTGGAAAAAGGTAATAAATTAGGTCGTTGATTACATTTCCAGAAAGAGTGGGATATGAGATTCGCAGCATCACAGGCAATACGCGAGAAACTCTCGCTATATTAGAGGTAATTTCCGAAATAATGATGGCGAAAGACGACATGACGCCCAACGTGGGGCCCGAATGTCCGCAACGTCAAGGGAAAATTATAGTGAAAGGCGATAATACCTACTGTTTCCGACATATCTTAATACTAGTAAATGCCTACTTAAAAACAACAATTGATTCTTGACGTAGAAAAATAAATGCGTAATGTCAAATGACTTTTGATATTGCGTACGTATTTTACTGCATAAATGACTAATTTTTGTTTTCTTATATTAATAATTGCTATCAAAAACATCGAAAATAGTATGGTATTTTCTTAGCTATAACATGTTTATCTCGGAAACTGTTTGGTTTGCTGAATTAATTAAACAAGTATATGTCTTTCACTTAAAAAATTACGAAAATTTGAAAGACGGCGATGAAACTTGAAATGAAAATAGACCTACGAATTTTTTGGCTGTGTTTCTATCTCCGGGCCCTCAAAATAGTAAATTGGATATATAACACAGACCTACAAAAAAAAAAAGTTGAAAATACCAGAGACTAGACCCACCTATCCTTATGTATTTTGACGCGCTGAAACCGAATCCTGAGTCAAAATTGCTCCATCGCCCTCCAATTTTTTTAAATCACGAAAAACTACCCCAAAAACGCGGAAATCTTCAAATTCTCGCTTGAACACGGGTCCGAAGGTTAAGATAAACCTGGGAACCAGCACAATAAGACCATTTTATATGTATTTTGACGAGCTGAAACCAAATCCGGAGCTAAAATTGCTCTATCACCCTCCAGTGTTTTTTAAATCGTGAAAATCATCCCAAAAATACGGAAAATCGCGTGTTATTGTCTCGGATCTTAACATTCTCTCTTTTTTTAAATCGTACCTACTCTTTTATCTTCAAAAGATCTGTGTAGTGAATACCTTTTTCTTTCTCTGCTATCTGGCTCGGATTCCCTTTTAAGCATCCAACAAAAATTTGCCATCATATTAACATCCCATCGTCCTTGGTACCGGTGTTCCATTTCCTTAATGTTTTAAATAAAGATGACTTATGTTACATTTATGGTAAATTTGAATTTTCTAAACAGGGATTGTATCTGAGGATTCGGTTTTAGCTCGTCAAAATACATATAAAACAGTCTTATTGTGCTGGTTCTCACGTTTATCTCAACCTTCGGACCCGTGCTCAAGCGAGAATTTGAAGATTTTCCGTGTTTTTAAGGTAGTTTTTTTTCGCAATTTAAAAAAACTAGAGGGTGATGGAGCAATTTTGACTCCGGATTGCTTTTATCCAAAAATTATCCAATAAAAAATGAAAACGCTATCAAAAAAAATATATTTTCAACCATCTTCTTAAGAGTTACCTACCAATTCCTGGACTTTTTAGATACTAGCAAATTTTATTACAATTTTCTACTAGTATTTTGCGAAATGTCAGGATTACGAATAATGGATGACAATTATAACGTAAGTAAGGAAATTTTCAGGTAATTCGACATAACTGACTAACAACAAGGGAAACCACATTACACTGTAAAAAGATTTCACTCAAATTTTACTCAATTTTGCTCAATAATAATGTATCAATTTCTGTCGACACCCGATTGAGTAAAATTTTCACTATATTAGTATGAGTAAAACTGAGGAACTATTGCATCAAAAATGAGTGAATTTTACTCAAATTCGAGTTATTGCTATCAATTGAGTGAATTTTGACTCTATTCTGTGTATAAAACCAATAACTATTATTGAGTAATTTTTATATTCTTTTTAAATTTTAATTTAAATATCATTGTATTAAAGTCATAAACTAATAAGCTGCCGCAGTGGTTTCAACACAGATCTGTTTTAGAGACAATATTTTAGGTCTCGATTAAAGGAAATGGTTAACTGATTGGACAAATAGATTGCCATACCCTATATTGCACGTAACAAATACGTAATTATAGATAATTAAACTATCCGTTTATTTAACCAAATATTAATCGAGACTTAATATATTGTCTTTAATTACTGTAATTAAATCACTGCATTTAAATACAATTTTCACTAAAATAATCAGTAAACCGATACTTGTCCTATTCCAAAGCACACCATACGCCATACTGCGATGCCACCGACCACGGTCACGAGATGACTAATGACTAATGGGATGATGGGGACAAAGATGCCTCTGGATATGAAAAAGGATGGGATCACTCAGTAATAAGGACATTTACTCCGATTTAGGTACAAGTGTACCAAATATGAGTTTATATGAAGAATTTATTTATGAAGTACCTATATTTGAGTGAAAGTAGTCAGTCTTAGTTTGAATATAATCGCAAAAGAGTAAAACTTGATAGTAGATATTGGGTTATCAAATAATTTTGTTAATTTTCTTAAATCGTACCTAACAAGAGATACATCAGTCTAAGTGTGTCGTCAAAATTTAAAGTTACTTCTGGCGTTTCATAGGGTTAGAATTTTGGGCCCTTACTGTTTCTCTTGTTTGTTAATGATTTACCGAATCATGTATCTCTTATCTTGTATTTTATTTTTTCAGATGATTTAAAAATCTTTATAAGTATTGAGAATGAGGAAAATTATATAGGGTGAGTCAAAATTCACTCCCCAGCGGCCGGATATATATTCTAAAATAAAAAATAAAACAAATATGTGGAATACTAAAATCTGGAAAGCGGAGCCGTTTTCGAATAAATTACTAATTTTAGTTTAATAAATGCGCAATTTTCGACTGACTAATCAAGTTGG